TAGCATTTTCTGGTCAGCTGAGACTGAAGAGTACATAAGGACAGTAGAGACAAAAGCAAACTGCAGGTTAACTGCAGATGTGAACATAATGCATGTTCTATTTTCAGATAACTAAGATTCTTTATTCTTTTATTGCATATAAAGAAAACATCTTTCAAGAACAGAGCATCTATAAATTGAGTTGTCTTACTTGTTTTAGAGATGATGATTTTAACAGAAGAAGAAAAACAAAGAATTGTTACCGCAGCTCAAGAAAAATTGCCTCCTGGCTCCGTGGTAGGAAACACCACAGAGRATACTTCAGTGCCTCCCTCTCAGTCCCCTGAGACCCAGCCAACCAAGGAAGCAATGGACAGCCCAGCCAAAAAGCAACACAAAAACAAGGTGAAATTGGCAGCAAACTTTTCATTTGCACCTGTAACCAAACTTTAATTCTTCTAGTGTGAAAGGCAAATACCTTTGGACTCTGCACAAAATAAAGCTATTTGCTAGCCCCTGCATATTTTAATGAAAGGCCTAGAAGAATTAATTTGTATTTAGATGTWTTCTGTGAAGAATTTTTCCTTTTACACTGAACACAGCTGTCAGCAGCACAGAACTTTTTCTATTATTTTGAAAAAAAATCCCCTATTCATTAAATTATTCTTAAATTTTACCACTTTTTTTCCGAAATGTGTTCAGTAAAAACAAACTATAAATTCAGCTAAAATGGGACAGATTTTATTTTCCTTAAGCTTTGTTGGTGGTGAAATCATACATGTAGCATATTATATTCTATAGGCTGTTGCTTACTGGTATTGTTTCAGACAGTATAAATAAAATGCATGATCTGTCTTTCAAAAACCTGTTGAGAAATTTTAACTTGCTGAGCTGAAATGACAGAGAGGGGAGKTGATTGTACTCCAGAGGAGAAACTTGTTTTCTGCCTCTTCAGATGACTTGTAACTGCATAGTCAATTCTTTTGTGGGAAGATGTCTGTAGGAGATTATGTGGGTTTCTTGCAAAACTTGTTTTAAAYGTTTTCTGTAGCTTTTGGTTCCATTTAGGAGCTTTCTAGGACATTAATGTTTTCAGCTTCCCTTTTATGTTTAGTTTCAGTCTGGCTTGGCTTTGGGTAAGGAAAAGAAGACTATCTTGGTGTCATGAGTTTAAGATACAGACACACATTTTTTATTGTGTCTAGAAATGAAGTTAGAAAGATTCCAATATTTCTAAAATATGCATTTAATGCATAAATTATGGATAATGGAGCAGGTCTTAAAAATGTTTTGTGACAGAAGGTATTGATGCTATTTCCACTTGTAAGGAAAATTCTAGCTGCATGTGGAAATGCTAAGGTTGTTCAGCTTAACCTTGTTTTGTATTTTTAAGCATGTTCAGTAAATGGGAAGCTTATTCTTTGATGTGCTGTCTTTTTAACTGTGTCTGTTTTTATTCTAAAATTTACTTCTAGTGTTGGAAGCTTTCTTTCAATTTGTGGTATCTTGTGTTGGTTTTTGAAAGGGCCAGTCTTGGGAGAGAGGTTAAGCTAGTGGAGGACCTTGACTCGAGTTAGCAGAAATGTCCAGTGAGTGAGACTTTATACCCATTTTGGGTAACCGTGGCATTTACAATGGGTTGTATTTGCCAGGCAGCGAATAAATTGCTTGTAGTAATGAAAGAACCTATACCACAGGTTTTCCACTGGCCAGCAGGGAGGTTTTAGACAGATTCTGTAGCAATACACAAGCGAGAGAGAGCAGGCGCCGAGTTCTTAGCCAACAACAGGAAATGCCACTGAATAATGGCTATAGACAGAATTTTACTAGACAGATTTTTGTTATAAAATCTTTTAAATTTAGCCAAGTATTACCAGTAGTAAACTTATAGCCATTATAAATGCAGAGAAACACTTGGAAGTTTTTCTGAGCATTATGGCACAGTATTYGAGTCCTTGATAAACCTCTACAGACATACTGCTATAGAGAGTGAAGTATAGGTGTAAGCTTTCTTAGAATGCTTTTAATGAGTTAATGTAAGAACATCTGTTTTCACCTTACTTAAGTAGGATGTAGTTAACACTGATAATTTAGACTTCCTTTTTTYCTGAAAGAACATGCATGGGGGAGAAAGACCAACGTGATACTATATTTTTGTGAGAGGCAGTTACAAGTCATCCAGAAGATTAAAAAAAAAAAACAGGTTTTTGAATCTACAGAGGGGGAAAAAATGGTATTTGTCAAAGTGAGCGTGGAGGTTGTACCATTTCTGGAGGTCAGCATATCTTTTCTGGATTCATGTGTGATTCTGATGAAATTGCTGTTTGAAAGTAATAGAGTAAGACTTTTGAAGTTGTGTTCATAGTGTAACAAAATAGCTAATTGAATTGCAATATATTTTTTTATCCAAAGTGTTAAATGAATGATGTGACTTACAGATTTAAAAGCTTTGCAACCATGAAATTCTTTAATTTAACAATTAAATGCGCTTAAGATTCATGTGTGTTTAAAAAATGTCACTGAAGCCCTCAATTTATGCACTATCTTGAAATGAGAGGGAAGAAAAAAATATCTTTTCTTAGCTCTCTACTTTGTTTGGACACTTTCGATTGTGGCTCGAGTGCAGTCTTGTGTGTTGGGACCAAACAGTTGTGTCAATAAAATTTTCAAGCAAGCATAACTCTTGTCTTTTTCTGAAGGGCTGAAAAACTCCTAGAATCCTAACTCTGTTGTTTGCAAGAAGTTTAATCATCTAGGCAGAGCAAAACTATTTTTTTCTTTTTCAAAGACAAAAGAAAAGCTGCGAAACCATAACCTGTAATTTTGAAGGATGTGAGCATTTGTTCAGTTTTTTTGCAGCTCAGATATCAGCATATGTACTGTGTATCTCTTGTTGTTCTTCATACAGCACTGCTTAGGGTGTCTTTTTCTGAAAAGCTGTACAGCTTCTAAAGAAGGGAAGTTTGAGTTCTTACCTTGAAATGTTAAAATTTATGTGACTAGTGTAATAGCATGTTACTGTATAATGTAGTTGACCAGTAAGTAACCTTTGGGATAAGATAGCATTGTTTTTAAGATTGAAGGTGGTGATTATCCAGCAGCTTCAGGCTTGGTACCCAACTTACTCTGCAGCTTTACTAGTGAGTGTTTTGAATTTTACTTCTGAATCTAAGGAATCAAAAAAAAAAAGGAAAATTTCCAACTCAGTTGAACTGTTCTGTCATCTCAGCTTTATGGGGAAAAGTAAAGAGCTGCAAAAACTTTGTTTTTATTTTAATAATCTAACTTGCATTCTCATTTAATGCAACTGTTTAATAGAACTGTCTGCTAGAGTAAACGATGCCAGGTCTACCAGAGGTAAGTGCTTGCTTGATCTTGCCAGAGTACTTGATTATTCAGTCGACTATTTCAAAGTAACTATTAAACTTGTTTTAAACTGAGGGGCAAGCAATTTCTAAATTTCCTATAGCAGTTAAAAAAAAAAAAACTGTACAGTTACCACTTTGTAATTTCCTTGGTAGTTGCAGATGTTTTAGGTATGCACATGAATAAAAACCCTTCCATCACCTAATGTGTGACTAACTTGATAATGAGTTTGATTTTAATTGTTCTTTCGTTATCTTGCTTTGAACATTCCCTTTTTAGGTAAATTATTTCAGTCACAATAAAATTTGATTTTTTGAAAATGGCAATGGTTTGCTCTGTCTGCCTTCTGTGTTAGACAAAAATTGCGCTGTTTTATTCATGTTTCTAACTTCTATTTTAAAACAGCAAAAGCAGAACAAGGAGAGTGAAGTGTAACGATCAAGTTGCACATGAAGAGCAGCAGTGGGGAAGTGACTTAGTTGCTCTTCTAGGTGTGATGTTGAGTAATGCTGATGGGAAGCGTGGTTGTCAGAGCAGAGCACACAGCACAGTGTCTTAGGGCATAAGCTGCTGACAAGAGCTGACCAAAGGTCTGTTTTGGAGAAAGCCAGCTCTTGTGGTGATGGAGCAATGGGAAGGAAAGTCATGTTTCTATACAGCAGGATGACTGCTTTTGGACACAGCCAAACAAAATTTGCTTTTGGCACCTTAAGTTTAGGACTTTGGGACGGGAGGGAAAAATGTATTGTATGGCCTTRCTTAAGTTAAATACCTCTTTAAACAGTCCTGTCCAATTAAAATCTGAATGGTACCAGTGAAACCTGCTTACTCTGTGGGAGTGATTGCATCAGTATCTTGAAGGGGCAATACCTGCAGGAATTCCATTTCTGCAGCATTGACAAGGCATAAAAGCAGGCTTATTTCAGGTGTTTGGCTCTCTACTGTGTTATATTCATTTCATATATCCACTGGATATAACTGTTTATAGGGGACTGTTTTGAGTCCTGGGACTAATRGAAGAAGTCTTGGAGTTGTTCCTCTTACTCGAGAGAATCCCTTTGCTCTCTAGCTCTTGAGCTTGACMGTCCTATAGACAACAGACTTCAAAATATTTTCAGACGCAATTTGGGGGTGAATATCACCCAACCTTGCTGCCTTAGGAGGCTGTTTCACTACAGCRGTTATTTGCATGGTGAAACAAAGCTGAGTTTTACTTAGGGTTCTGGGGGCTATTCTGAAAGGTGCATAAGCAGATGGCAGTGTGATGGAAAGCTGCGATCCAAGTGCTACCAGTAAGGGGAGAAACTGTTCTGTATTTCAAACGGGAAGATTTCCTCTACCCTGCAACTGCTTTTTTRTGTAACAGGAAGAAAACAACAAATGCTTAGTGTAACACAGCAGCTTRGTTTATTTGGAAATATGTTGAATTTTACTTTGCTGAAGAGATTCAGTAGGCTTAGATGAAGGTAGAATTGGAGYGATGTGCTGGTAGAATGAGAGCAATCGGTACAAAGAGCAGGTCTGTGTTCTGGCGACCAAGATCCTTGATAGAAGATAGCCTGTTGTACCTGTCCCCACCCTGTCATAGAGAAATCAGTTGGTCGAATCTACCTTAATTGCTGTTTCTGTTGCCTCATGGTCTGGACTGATTCAGACAGTGGTTAACAGTCAGGGTTTATGGAAACCACTTTGATTGTTCCAGTTGGCCAGTGTCCCTGTTTGCAGACAGTAACAGACACCTGAATCAGATCTGCTGAGATGGTGTCAGTTGTTCAATGTAGCCACKTAAATACTTGGTTGATATTTTCTCTGTATATGTATTCTCTAGTATGTATATATCTCTGTATATTTCTAACTGTATGGGAGTGATATTAATACTTGCTGTGCTTTTTTCCATTTTAATTAAGAGGGGACTCTGTAATCTAGTCACTGTTGAATCTTAAAAATGGGTTCATCTTTTCTGTTAGCAAATGCTTCAGCCCAACCTATGTTCTACTGGTGAAACTCCACTGATTTCTGTTTTCTTCCCCAGACTTTAGACCTTTGCTTATTCATGGGYGCTCACACTACTTGGTCATAACAGCTGATCCTGCTGAGGCTTAAGTTTGATGTTTTACAACAGTGTTTTTTCYAAACTGCTGTTYATTTTGCCTGAAAATACTAATAATTCTCATGCCTTAACTGAGTACCAGTGAATTCAAGAGGCTGTTGAATTACCCAGAAGCCAGTGTCCATTTCCTCCCTTCCAGTTTGTGCTCTCACTTAAAAGCTATGCTGTTTTCCTTATCCTATTAATATATGTAATGCTGTATGCCAATTAATATATATATAACAATATATGTATGCTGTAACCTGTCAAACCCATGCTAGGTACAGCTACAGGATTACAAGTGAACTTCTCTCTGGGCAAGGTTGCTGCAGCTGTGTATGTCTGTCCAGTTTTTGTTGTATATATTGTCCCTTATTCTGAATCTTTAGTCAAAGTACACAGACTGCTTCGTGTCTTGGTGGAAACCACTTTGTTCTTGCTCCTTCTTGATGCTGGAGCCATAGGACCTTGCGGTGACAGCTCTGTTCTCAAGTGTGTGTGCACGATACAGAAACAAGGAGTTCTGGGGAAGAAAATGCTTCTCACTGCATCAGTCCAGTGCTGTGGATTTGTATTTCATACCGGAGTACTCTGACTTACCTGCTATCTCCTTGAGCCTTAGTAAGGTACTCCTTAATGTTACTGTTTTTTTGGGTGACTAATGTTCAGATTGATATCCCCTCTTTGCCCCTTTAACTGTGGCTTCTTTGTACATAGATGCACATCTTAGCTGCCTTCATAAAATGGAGGTTCCTCTTGGAAAACTTTRGAACTCCTTGCTAGCTGTTTGTTTCTAAGTCTGAGATTGTTTTCACATTAGATCATGTTCATTTATTTACTCTTTACACCCATCACAATACATTTATATGTAATACTATCACACAGACATACCACCTACTGACAGCTAATATAAAGATATTGGGAATGACAAGACTTAATCTGCAGAGACCAGAAATGTGTTAAATGGTGAAACACAGGTAACTGTTTTTCTTAGTTTTAAGCTCACTTTGTGTAGTTGGTGACCTTTTTTTCTSTCATAAATAGTTACTTTTGTATTTATTATACTTGCCTTGGGGGCACTTTGGATGGCTACTGCCTTTCTGTGCTTGAAAGCATATGTATCTCCAAGTCATTAAATATGTAATTGATGTTTGAAGTTCTACATGATGTAGCTTTGGAGTGTTTGCTAAAGTTAAACTAGAGATTTTTTTTCCTTAGTGCAAGCAATACTTACTTGGATCGGGTAATTCAGAAGTCATATAGGACACAAGGTACATCTACTTGCAGCATCCTTGTTACTGACAGTCATTCTTTAGGAAGATTGGAAGTGAAACTCTACAGCAAAGTAGTTGAACATCACACTAGTTTGATAAATATTTTGTATACAACATCAGTTATTCTAAATTTATTTCATCTATTGGTTGCATTATATACAGCATAACTACTTGTGGCTTTTGTTTTGAAAATTAGTTAAAATGGGATATTCCAGCAAATGTCTGAGTGCTGTTTGCCAAGGGGCAAATGTRTATAACATTCTTATAAGGTGGTGACCTCTTTAAAACTGCTGATCTACATCCTAGTTGGTGAAATGTGTCACTTTCTCACTCTTTTTTATCACGGGTGTTTTTTTGTGGTCTCTATTTCAGATTTTTTTTTTCTGGTCACTGGATAGCCACTATATAGGTTTGTTTTGTCTTTAGGCATGCACATTGAGTGATCCATGCAACAGTGAAGAACCTGCCATCATACAGTCCATATATTGATTGTATCACAGTTGTTCTTGTTGTTTTTCAGGATGCTGATAAAACCCCACACCCTACAGTTTCATTCAACGAAAACATTTGAAAAGAAAACAGAAAACAGACATGGTAGAGAACCCAGAGCTACATGATGCTGCATTGTGTGGCCCCACAGCAATCTTTAATAATAGCCAAGCCCGCCTTGGCAATGGTGGGCTTGTTTGGAGGAGGCTCTGCCTTCTTTTCTGCGGGCGTACCTGCAAATTTCAAAACAGGACAGCATTAAAATGAAGACTATTTCAAATTATTTTTGCCTACATTTGGCTTACACTGAGAAGACRAACTTTTCTTCTACAAAATTTTTACTGCTAGCTGGAAAAATATATCTAAGCTTGGTTTAAAAAAAAAAAGTCTAAGTCAAAGTGCTCAGGAAAACTCACCTATTCAGATGAGTTAAGGGAGCCTAGAAAGCCTATGCATCTTACTGGGATGTAAACTTTTGCACCATGTTCARTGCGGGTGCCCTAACTGACAGCTGCAGGGACAGTTAAGAGGTCCTTCAACAGAAAGCTTAGTGTGTTTTAAACTTAGTTTTTAACAAGTTGAAGATGAAAAAAGTACTACTAGAACTTGTTCTCTCACGAAATTGGATGCTCTAATTAGTAGAACAAGATTAAAAAAGCTTTGGGGGTGAAAGGAATTTCTCCATTGTGGCATTTAAAGTAAGTGTATAAAGGCAATGACATGAAGTAAACTAACAAGGGAAGAGTTTTATCCTGCTTGTGACTAAAGGAGATGTTTTAAAATGCATCACAAATTATACCTATCAGTCTTGTGCTTGAATTTCAGACGTTTCACATAATCTCTAGAAACTATTTAGCAAGACCAGATCAAGTCTTGTGCCTGGCCCTACATGGCCTTTGAAAATGCCCTTCTTTTTTCCAGCATTGTTTTGGGAGGTTATTTTTTCCTGTTTTTCCCCTGGTGTTTTTGAGGGTAAGTTGGCTTTTTTCTTGTTTTGTTTTCCATTTTAATGATTACAAACTTACTGGTAGGAGATTGGGTTGCTTTGTCTAAGGGTTTTAACTTGGTTCGAAGGAATTCAGCCATCTCCTTGTCTTCCTCTTTCTCTCTAGAGGAAAAAAAGAAAATAAATKTGACAGAAATAATTTCTCTGTAAATAGCACAGTAAAACCTACAGTAGTTTGGATCAAATCAGCAGGAAGGGGGGGAAAAAAGTTGTCCTTTTAAATACATCTTGCTGCTTATTAGAGCAAAACATATTTGCTCAAAGGATTTAGTAACAAACCACATAGAATTCAAATAGTATTTTCTTCCCCCAAGGCTCTTTGGTTGTCTCCATGATACAGAAAGTTTTGGAGCAGCTATATGCTTTAGTCAGGAGACTTTAAACCACCTATTTTAAGTTGTTTTTCAAGTGTTTCTCCACACTTCCTCTAAAAAATGAAGCAAAGCAATCAATATGCATGTGCTACCATACCTTTTTTTTAAAGGTTCCACTTAGCTAAAAGACTGGATCTTATGATACTTTGTTAGAGCTTTTTCCAAAGGCATGTAGGTTTTTCATTGCATGAAGATGACAGGATTAGGCGCAAAATAAAGATTATATTTATAATGTTGATTTTATCAARTATTCCAGTATTGATTCATTTGCTATTTCATTATTAACACTGAGCATACGGATGGAAAAGCTTCAGTTAACTGGAGAAAAATGAGATTTCATTAGCAAGAGCTTTAAAGAAAGGTACCAGGTTTTATTATAAATGTGAATGGGCACTAATGTATTCCTATCCATATAGCAAKGTGTTGTGAGCAGCCTATAGTCAGGCTGCTGTTGGGCCCTGTGATTTGCACCCTGAAGGTGCCGTTGGGTGCCCTGGGTCCTGTTACTAGCGCAGGCTTTTTGCCAGCTGTTGACTGGCAGCACTTGGATCAGCTGCAGGGCTTTGGCATTCCTTCTCTCCCAGCATTTGCCTGCTTAGAATTTAAGTCTTTTCAGATGGATRTTGTTGTTGTGGATAAATGGATTGGTGGAGCTTTGAAGCATTAATGTTGAAATAGAAGTAATAGCAAAGCCCTGACTAATTATAGGGTATTGGGATCTTGGTTTGACAATTGGAAACTGTTTTGGGAATCCACCGGTTCCTCAGTATGCAGCCTGCTTGCATGGGCTAAGATATGGAGAAGAAACCATTCTGAACCCACGCCTGCTTTAGGCTGGGTTAGACCTGTTAGTGGTTGTACTTTCCTATTTTGAAACCAGYAGGTAGTCTCAAATATGGGATAAGAGTAATAATAAATCACTAATGTGGTTATTTCTTCTATAATAAGATCATATATTAGATGTCTACAAATCTGCCCYGATGGATTTTTTTTTTCTCTTTTTTTATTTCACGCCTGCTACTTGTTCCAAGAAGTTCCTCTGGCCAGCAGTAAAAATCCTTTTCTTCATAACATTAGATGCCCAGTCATTTTCTAGTGAGAAAGTAAGAGATGGTAACCCTTGAATCATGAGATGATGACAGCTATTTATAGGATAAGAAGAGTGCAGCAATTTAATGTGCTTTTTTCCTGTGAAACCAGGCAGAGGCTTTTAACTTGATAAGTTGCTTTAAAGCATTTATCCTCTGCTGTTCATGCTAATGCAAACTCTGTCACTCACTCTAGTAGGTGTAGAACTAGACCTGTGAAATATCTGAATAAATTTGGTTACTTTTAGCTCTTACCGTAATCTTTCCACCTCCGCATCATCTACAAGAAAATCCCTTTTTTGTACCAGTTTGTGGATTTTCTGAATCAGTTCATCTTCTCTTTGTTTTTCCATCTTTGTTTTTTCTTTTTCTGGTTAAAAATAGAGAAAAGAGGCTGTTACTTGCATTTTAAGTTGCAGAGGGGAAACCTACAGATGTCAAAAATGCTTATTTGTAATACCCAGTAAGGCTGCTTTTTGTGCAGTATGTATTCKCTGTGCTTATCTTTTAGAGGAGAAAAAAAAAAATGTTCAAAAAAGTGGGTATGATTACTGACAGCTATGAAGATTTCAGAGCTTCTGCACTGACACAGATCTGGTTCAGAGTAATGCTGGGTTTGCTGCAGAGAAATGAAAATGCTGCCTTGCTCTTCCCCTGCTTTGCCTATTGCATCTGTGCAGCAAAGGATCCTCTGCTACTGAAGGTAGGCGCTACTTCCTACTTCTCTTCCATCTGTCCTCTTCCCAGATTGCGAGATGTGCTCTTCYGTCCCATCTCTCAGGAAACTGTCTACTAAATTGGTCCAAAATAGCAACAAAAGTACTGCAGACTGAATCCTGACAGCCTGATAAGTTGTCAGCTGAAGCCAATTAAACCTCCATCTACTGAAATCAGTACAGGAAGTCTCTATACAACCTGTAGCCAACAGAAAAGACCAAGTTATCAGTGAGCCCATTTGGGAAAGTCTTATCCCATGATGGGCACATGCTGCATGAGCAGTTGCTTCTGTAGGGATGCCTGAAGATTCTGGCTCTTGGTTAAGGTGACGGTTTGCCTGCTGTGAGCCTGTCGAAAGGTGGTGCTGCACCATCCAACTTGTTGGGAATGCTGAGCTGCACTGAGCGAAGAACAGCTGTTGTGTGTGGATTTCTGCTCAAGACTTGCAATGAAAGATGTTCCAACAGTTAATTAAAAAAATCCAACTGTAAATTAAATAATGCAGCTAGAGAAGCTGTAGAGTAGAAGAGGTAAGGCAGGGAGGATCATTCACAGATATCTTCTAGAATTCATAATGCTTTATAATACCATTTAATTGAACATTATAAGAATGTAATTATAAATTAAAAATAAAGGGAAGTTCTTATTCAAATAAGGYTGCTGTATGGACTCTGAGAAGAAAAATGTAGATATCTCTTTCCTATCTCATGACTGAAATGCCTGTCTTCTCTGGGGAGGAAGCCATTGTTTTAAGTTGCACTATAACACATGGAAATAAGATGAGGATGGCCAAGGGAGGGAGACTTTACCAGCTGGGCAATAGCAAATTATTTGATGGGTGCTAGAGACCATAGAGTCATCTAGTGTARATGTACTTTCCTGGTCTCTTAAAAGATGCATGTGACCAGCTGTTGTGAATTGCTAYTTTTCTCCCACAATTTTTGCCAAAGACCTTTTCTTAGTCATGAAGGGCTTAAAGCCTTGAAGGACAGACGAAACAGATGCCCCACAGCAATCCTCTGCACACATAAGTATCAGTGGTGGCGTGGCTTACCTCTTCACTCATCTTGTTCTCGCAACAGGCAGAGTAACCTGTGTGTGGTGGGAGTTCACACAGCGCTGCCTGGCTGTAAAATCCGCAGTCTCTTCTAGGTACAGTGCCACTGCTAACTCCTATATGCTCCTATAAACTATGCTGCTGAACTGCTTCAGGAAAGCACAGCTGGCCCCAAGGTACTATAATTGTCACAGGCCTGTRGCTGTAATATGTCAGCTCAGAGCCTGCTGGAAAAAGAAAAAAAATGTCCTTGCTGCACTTAGCAGCTCAGCAGAGATTTAACAGGGCACACTCCAAAGGCAAGAAAATRTTCTATTCAATACAAATAGTTATGAGCTTGCTAAATCAATTCATAGTGAGATGTGTAACTCACTTCGGTGATCCGGTGGATGTGCTTCTCACTAACATACAAATTAAAAGTGTACTTTCAAGGTAAAAATGCAAATGCAGGATTCATTTTTTATGCACTCATCTGTTTTAATATTTAGGGCAATTTTCATATCTAATTACAGCTTCTCAACTGATGCTCTGACTGAGAGGAAACTGTTCCCTCCAATGACATAAGATCACCACAGACTTTGCATCAAAAAGCTGCTAGGATTGAGTGAGCAGCATGATTCACTCATCATATCTGGAGGTATTGTCTACTCCCCTTTCTACCTTTATCTCTTAAGTTTCCTTTCCTATTTGGAAGTCAAAAGACCATTTTTTTTACAGAGGGAAGTGCTCAGCAGTGTTATATTTATGTCATTTTGTGCTGCTTGTTCCAAGRGCAAAGCTCTGATTTGTGAAGAGGAGGCTTGAGGCCTCCCTACTCTTTATCAGTCTTGTGGGACATTTTTGATGCTGTTCAGGACAGAGGTCSTCCTGACACCCTGGGATCCCCTGCAGTGCCCAAACATTCTCCTAGGGGTGGGTTGGAGACTGCCGTTACCTGGGATCGCTACCAAATTCTGCAGCTCTTTCTTAAGGTTCATAATGTCTTTGCACAGCTGGATGTCATCCATCCTGCAGAAACAGAAAAAATAGTCAGATAGCTCACATCCCTGTTTATGGGATCAGCCAGACTTTGTTTCCTTGCATGGTACTGCCTGTTCTTCTGGACCTGTGCACTGAAATGCAGGAGTTTGAATTATGATTATTTGTATGTTCTTCGGTTCCGATGTCACTAATGCTATCCCTGATCCTACAAGTCTTTGTTTCCTATTCCCATGCTGGAAGGGAAGTTTGCCTAGTGCCTGAAGGTAGCTGAGGAGTGTATGGGTCATGCCAGCTATTTTTCAAAGTAAGAACCTGGAGTGTGAGTGTGCATGGACTCAAAGTAGAATGCAATCGCACAATAAAATTAAATGAGGAATGGTAATAGAAYTTCTGGTACAGAAAAAGAGCTTTGGGTTAACCTGAAGAGAACAGGAAGCTACAGAGTAGAGAAAAATTCCTTTGGGTCCCCTAACATTCAGGAGCAAACCTGGAGAAACACTTTGAGCTCAATTCTATGGCACTTTCTATCCTTTAAATCAAATCTATCAAAGTGCAAGATGGGTCAGAGGAAAAGCCATGCTCTTGTCTAGCTTATTTAAGGCGCTGTTAGGCTTCCTGTGCAGCTGGGCTCTTCTCTGAGGAGAGCAGCACAATCAGCTCGCTGGGCCGTGCTGAGCACACTGGCTTTTCTCAGGAGATAATGGATGATGCAGGGTAGCGAAATGACACCCTCCAGGCTTGTTTAAGCTCCCTCTAAAGCTACACAAGATGCATCTATCAAGTTTCCAATATATGAACAACCTGCTCTGAACCTTGTGTCTTCTGTAAAGCATGGTGCGTTCTTTCTCCTCCCTGTGAAATCATTTTTAATGTTGTAGCGAAAATACCAGTAAAGCACATAGTGGCTATAGGACATCAGTCTTCCCTCAGAGTGGGGCTTTATATATTTGTTCAGCTATCTTAAACCCATGAGTTATCAAAATAATAAAACTTTTCACTTAATAAGAACCCATATCCATTCCTGGAGTAATTATAGTAGTGTTGGTTTAAGAATGCATTCTCCGTGTTTTCATGTATTCCTGAATATTCTCCCTGTATTTCTGTTTTTATATTTCATAGTTGTTTATTGCAAGAAACCTTCTGCATGCTTGGAGATATAATGCGCCATGTATTATTCTTTTCTCTCTTGATATTTTAAACTATATYATCAAACCCAAAAGAAGACCTTCTGTTTGCCCATGGGGGAAAAGAAAAGAGAGAAAAAAAAAAAAGCCCATAATGAATAAGCAGCATGAGCAAAAGATTTTTCTAAACATGTCACAAAATGACTGGAAAATAAGTGGGTTGGAAGAGGCCGCAGTAATCTGGCACAGTGACTCAGCCCACTAATATGTCTGTCTTTGGTCCAGTTACCAGGGGATGATGCTCTGAGCACAGTCATTCCCAAAAGTGCCGCAAGTGAGGCAGGCAGCTTGAGTCATCCCTGCTTTAAACAGCCTGCGCCGGGAGGGAGAAGGGCGGAAATGGGAATGGGCGACATCCTGATCAACCTCGTCCAGGCAGGTCTTGGCAGCAGGAGAAGATAATGTCAGTCTGGGATAAATTAGAAAGGAAACCTTCTCTAGTGGATACAGAAAAGTGTTCTGTTTCAATAGAAACCAATTCAAGGACAGCTAAAGGCAGTGGGTTGGTTGGTTGGTTGTTTCAGTGACTTCAGGACAAGCAGAGAAGTTCAATGGAGCTGGAGAGCTGCTACTTTTACCAAATGACTTCCACAGCTAGGAGATCTCTGCTCCCTCGAGGATGTCTGTGGGAATGGGTTTGAGGTGCTTCTGGTTTCTTTTATTGCATTAATGTGCTTGAACAATGCAGGTTAAAATAAAACTAGGTCAGTTTTGTAGGTCCTCTTCCATCTCCCTCAGCAGGTTTACAGCCCCTTAAGATTGTTTAGTTCTGTTCCTGTCCTAGATGTGAAGATGYGTGTAACTCTTACTGTTTCTGATGACTTTGGTAGAGCAGGTCTAAGACTCAGCTGTCCTGCATATGACGAGTTAATGTCATTACAGGTATCTGTAGAAAGTCTGTTCACGAGGATGAGGAGATCGTCTTCTCGGTGGTGAGAACAATGAACATGCTGAACACCAGCCAAGAGCACCTAGTAGGGATGGAGAAATTTGGATGACTAAGTAAAGAGCTGTGTAGAAGATGGGGGAGAGGGGAAAAAAAAGAAAAAAAAATGCTGCACATAGAGATGGTGATGATGAGTAGGCAGTCTGCTGGTTTGTTAATTTAAGGATAGAGGTAAGGGAATAGGAGATCAGTGGAGCCCACCTTTGAGGACTGCAGGTTTTTTAATCCCTGTCAAAGCTGTGAGGATACTGAAATGGTGAAAGTGTCTTGGRAATAGAAAGAGAAACAGGAAGTTCACCTATGTTCCCCCTTCTACAATTGACTTGTTTTACTTCATTTTGTCCCTGACAACTCATTTTAATTTCTTAAAACTTCTAATTATAAAGCTGTGACAACATTTAATGAAGAATATAGTATGTGTAGGCTGAGTCAGTATGATGTGTGTTTATCACCTTGTTATTTAGCTCCCCACCTGGCGCTGCGCAGCCTGGAAGCCACCGAGCTGGCAATTAAGATAACAGATTGCTGACTAGCCCACTTGGCAGGTCAAGTTACAAATGAAAACTCCTGTGAAAACTTTAGCTATCAAAATGAGTGAGTCTATCTTCTCTTGTTAAAAGCACTCTCTGATTCTGGAACTGTGGATAGAAGCACCAGACTGCAAGTGTGCAACTGGGTGCAGTAATGTTGCGATTCAGGCATCTCAGTGGTTTGAGGGAATTGAAGATGGCAGGACTTGAAAAGCTCAGTTCCTGYAGGTTACATTTAAGGCACATTTCATGGAAATTCAGAACAGTGTCTGACTGTCTAAATTTCATTCTCACTGACATCGCTAAATTCCCTTGAGCTGGGGCCATCTCTGTCAGTTATGAAATCTTACTGTAAAGTTCAATAGCCACATGAGAAGAAGCATTCCTGGAAATAAACCCTTGTAGAAGGGAATATTTCTTTGTTGTTAGGAAAGAGAAGTGGTAACCTCTACATTAAGTCAGGCATTGACTTTAGCATGATTGATAATAAGCTTCCTTCTTGATAATTAAGTTTAGTTGATAGTTGATACTTAATTGATACTTGATCTTGACAAGTCAATTGACACTTGATAATTGAAACTTAATTGATAATTAAGTTTCCTTCTTAATTTACTTCTACATCTAACCTTTTCTTATTTTTCAAATCAGAACAAAAGCAACTATTTTTGTATTAAACTTGGAAAAAATATGAAGGTATCTAGTATACAATTAAATATTGACAGTCAAGTCTATTTTAGGACTCTTCAGTTCACTGTTGAACCACAATTGATTTTACTGTTGTTTTTGTAGCAGAAAGTGAGGGGAGATACCACTGAAATAGCCACTAATTACCAGCTCTTACAGCAAATGMTTGTTGATAGCGCAATGAATGTGTAAAACAATGGGCCACAGTGATTGTTGCGAGTACTGTATGGGCGCAATATGTTACAAATGCATTATCTTGGCTACATGGTCCCATGAGAAAACATTAATTCTGCTTTCCACTTGTGCAAACTGGACCAYGAGTAGCTGAGCATGGGGAAAGCAAAAATCGTTTGGGGCAAAAATATCACAGCCCTAAACGAACCATTTCATGCAGAAGAATGAATGTGTGCCACCCAAGGCTATAGCTGTGGGAGAAAGGTACCCCATCTCCTTCATAAAGCTGGTCTTAGTATTTTTCCTAATGATATCGTATCCCTATCACTGTTTCTTTTCTTCTTTGTTTCTCCAAAAGAGCATCCTCTCATTTAACTCCAAACAATCCCACAGGGAACAATTATTGACCTGGCAATCTGACACGTAAGATATTTATTAAAAATATATATCTTCACACAACTGCATCCCTCCCTGCAGCATCCCACAGTGCTTCAGCAGTCCGAGAGCAAGACGCAATCTGCCAAGCAGGAAGGCATTCACTGTAACTTATATTGTTTTTTTTTCTAGAAGATTATAGCACTTTGAAGGGTAAAAGATTTATTGTTCCTTCCCATGAAAAGACAGCCCTTATCAGAAAACACAGGCAATAACAACTCTATTCACACATAGACCAAATCTTCTTTGTTGGTTTTATTTCTTAGCACTGTACTAGCAGCTGGGTGCCTAGCTCAGAGTACYGCCTTTGCATATTCAAAGTTTCTTACTGTTGCCACCCATGGCATGAAGCCACTGAGAAGTCAGTTGATGTTATATCATAAGCCACTTGAAATAGGGTTAAAATATTTAGATAGAAATTAATTTATACAATGGTCACTTGCTTTCAGAATGGAGATCAGTCTGCTTGAGCAGCCTGCCTCTCCAGTTCTTGTGAGGCTCAATCTTGCAGCATCTGTCTAAAGCCAAGCAAGCAACAGTTGGAACATTTTATATTTTAAATGTTCTCTGTATACTGCAAAGCACATGCAGGTAAGAGCTCTATTTTGTATCTTTTGATGTGACTGTTATTGACCCTAAAATGAATTTTGATAATTTTTTCTCTAGCAGGAATTTGCCCTCAATGGCATTATTATCCAAAGTCCTAGAGACTAGTGACGATTACTGACTATCCCATTTCTTCTACAGCTAGCAATGGATGTATAAATACAAAAACAGCAAAATAACATTATTTTTCAAAATGGGAAAAATAAAAGGTTAAAAGAGCAAATAAAGAAAAAGTAAGCCTGACTAAAAGCTGCAGAAGAACTGGGATTAGTTATGTGCCCTAGCCAGGTAATAAAGGTCTGAGATTGCTAAGATGGTTTTTAATTATTTATTTTACCAGGGTCAAGTCAAGTTGCAATAAGCTCATCTAGATAAAAAGGTAACTGTTCTTAGGATTACAAGTAAGCAAACATAACAGTATGAAATTGTCTGAAAACCAGAATGAATCTTTGGAGAATCTGGATGATT